TGGTTGTGGTTGGAGGAGGTTGTGTACCCCAAGACCAACCCATTCCCAGTGAAGCCATCTTCTGAGCCTCAGTTTCCTCATCTGTAAAGTGCGTTAATGATTCTCACTGTGCCCACTGCTTAGTGTGTCATGAGCATGGGTACAGAAGGCTCTGAGATGAGCGTCACCAAGTCCCCAGTCTTTCCATTATCTTGTATGGAATCTTCTGCTGTTGCCTGCAGGAAAACCAGACAGCACCTTCAAACCTAGAAACTTATAAAAGAATGCCAGATCCCAGGTCCAAGGACTCATTTTTTCACATGGAGAGAAAGTGTGTTCAAACCTGGGCCCCAGTGTTGGAGAGGGGCTGCTTTAGCCAGGTTCATACCATGCCCCAGCCTCTGGCTTCCCTGCTGGAACAGATCAGAGGTGTCAGAGACAAGGCTCAGCCAAGGCTCAGTGTCTGACCAGGGTCAGGGCTTAGGGTACAACCTGGGTGAGGAGCCAGCATGCAACTGGAGTCAAGGCTCAGAGTTTGACTGGGCTCAGAGCTCCACCTGTGATCACAGTCAGGGCTCAATGTGTGGCCAGGATTAGGGCTCAGCCTCTAACTCTACTGGGCAATCACTTCCTTATAGCTATCCCTTTGCTTCTCTTGGGCCACTGATGGCCAGGGGCTCTTGGGAGGTAGTGTCTTCGGTTTTAGAGGGTGTAAATGGAGTCCGAGAACCGAGACCTGCAAGATGCTGCCGCCAGTGCAGCTAAGCTGAGCTTAGATTGACACTCCCCCTGGATACATAGACGGTATCCTCTGGTGCGGGTGAGAGAGGACACATGACCTCTCTCACCTGCTCTGAATCCCAGCTTCCCAACTAATCCTCTGTAAAGGCCCCAAAGCTGGGCCTGAACCTCTGCCTCTCATAGAGTTTTGTAGCCCAGGAGGAAGCCTACAGGCTGAGCAAAGCTCCTGCCTGCCCAGTTGACAGCAGACTGGCACAGAGCATGCAAGAAGGGCTTGTTCACTGTGAGCAGCTCCCACTGTGCCTCACTGCCAGGCAAGACTGCTGCCTCCCTTCCTTCCATGCAAGGAGACCTTGTGGGAGGGGTCCCTGCTCTCAGAGGGACATCAGCTGTGCAGGGCTCAGGAAGGAACCTGGCCACTCAGGGAGTGCCCAGTGTGCAGACAGACAGTCCCAGGTTGGGCAACCCGCATGTGCTGGCCATCTTCCCTTAGAGGCCTCTGCATTCCTGGTCATGTTACAGGCCTGCACTTGCTGCAGGCTGGGCCACACTGTCCATGTGGTGAGATGGGAAAGAATCTCAGTAGAACGACATCCCTTGGTCGATGCCCCACAGCCTGCGAGTGTCTAGACCCCAACTCCGGTGTATCTGCCAGGCCAGGAGCTCGCCAGCTCCTTGTGCCTTCACACAAAGCCAGACAGAAGGCAGTGGTCCATACCCCAGGATGGCTCACTCTCTACCAGGTGGGCAGATGATCCATGGCAGCAGAGGGACCACAAGGGCTGGGACGGGGCCTGCCTCCTGGGCCTGTATCAGGTGAAGAGATTGAGCCCAAACCCCAGGACAGCCCAGAGAAGGAGATGGGGAAGAAAAGAGGCCTCCTGCCAGGCGCCAGGGTACTGAGGGACCACAGGGGAGCCTGCTTCCTGCTAGGTCTCGGGTGAAGCTGTGGAGGCTGAAAGAATGCAGGGAGCCTGACAGGAGGGACCTCCAGGGTCAGGCCACCTTCTCTGCACTTGGCCCTGGGGCAGTGGAGATCTTTGAAGAGCAGAGTTCCCAGGAGAGGTGCTCCAGGGCCCAGAGCAGGGATGAGGTGGATAGGGCCTGTTGGGGAAGGGAGTAATGGTGGCCCTGGAGAAGGATCTTGTCTGCCTGTGACTAGGGAACCAAGAGGGACAAAGGCAGTGCAGGGCTGGCGAGCTGGTCCTCCACAGAGGAAAGAAGGGGAAAGGTCTGCCTTGTAGATGGGCAGTTTCCATGGTGTCCGCACCCCAGACAACTCCAAGCCACTGGTGTTTAACAACCAACTGGCAAAGCCCTGGAAATTGAACTCAGCTCTGTAGGGACCACAGTGTCACCAACACCAGAGAGGACAAGGCTCCAAGTAGAGACCTCCAGGTTGACTTCCTAGAGCTGTTGTCCCTGGGAAGGAAATTATCAGGCACATTGTCTAGCAGAAGCAGCAAGTGTCCCTCCAAGGTTGGGTTGCAATCTTGACCCCACCGTTGGCTTTGGGCAGAACACAGGGACCTCCTATCACTACAGGGCTGGGTCTCCAGGAGGAGGACACTCAGGGCCAGCTAGGACTCTGTGGGCTGCCTCTGTGCACTGGGCATGCCTCTCTACACCTCTGTAAATAATCCCCACTTCCAATCAACACTGCTGCCAGTGCCAGGAGACAGGGAGCTTGTGGCACTATTGGAGCTGATAGACAAGGCCCATGCCGATACCTGCGCATATCTAAGACCAATGGGCAGGAAAGCTTTCTGTGCAGAGATAAAATCACAACCCTTGAGTAAAGCCAGTGGTCCCTTTTATGAAATCTCTCTGCACCATCTGCAGTGTGACTGACCTACCGGCAGTTAAGGGAAATGATAGGGGCTGCGTCCTGTAATTCCTGTGCCTGCCGACAAGACCACACCCATTCACAGAGAGAAACCAAGGGCTGGACAGAGCGCCCTCCTCTGGCCTTCTCCCAGGAGGTCAGGAGGTCCATGATGTCTAGAGCAGAGCACAGAGCTTAGCCCACACAGGGAGGTTCCCACGGCCCTGGGCAGCCGCGTTGGCAGCAGTGGGAGGCAGGGGAGATTGCAACACCATCACCAGATCCCTGAAAGCCAAGATCTCTGCCTGCCTTGCTCCTTGGACTTTGAGCAGTTCATAAAACCTGCTCTGTACCAACCAGGCCTAGGTCTCAAGACAGGCAATGGGGACAGGTGGGAGATCTGGCTTAGAGGGCACAGAGGAGGTCTACACGTGAGCACAGAGGGGCAGGCCATCTTGGAAATCCTCTGGGCAGTAAGTGCGGGGGGTGGGAGCCAGCCAGAGACTATAGCAGGCAAGGGGTGGCTGGCAGGACGCTGTGATTGACTTCTGAGGCAGGGCTGGGGGTTGCCAAGAGTAAGCCAGTAACCCTTTCACATTCTA